ATGACAAGAGTACAGTTAAACCACCACCTTCCAAGCGTTTAAAATTTTCTCTGCCTGAGTCAGAAAGGTAACTTAAATCAAAACATGTTACTTTTCTAAAGGTTCTTTTCTGATGGCTATTTGTGAAATCATTAACTTGGTTGCATTTTCTTATTATTTGCAGCAATGGTCTAACTGACGAAGACATGAAAATGATGGATGCTGAGCTGGGGAAACTTGATGCCGTTGGGGACACACCACACGTCAGACGGCTCATGAAGGATTCTTATCCCCTTCGTCTACGTTGGATATCTTCTGCCTCTGAATCAGCAAGACCATCTGACATCCTTGCAAGATTTCCTCATCTTAAAAATGTTGAACTGGTAAGTTGAGCTTCCTTGTAAAATATTTCTGCAGTATAAGTCTTCCTTTCTTGTTGTTGTATTACTTTTTTTTTTTTAACAAAGCTTTTACAAGAATTAACTTTGAGATTACCTAACATTGATAAGATAGAATTGCTTTTTGGGAAAGTCAAATGCTTATTGGAAAAAGTATCGCTTAAGTTAAATGAATCTTATGGGGAAACGGATGAAGAGAAATTAAAGTTTGTAATGGCTCTCTACAACCGTTTGAAACCCAAGAACATTCCCAAAATGTTTCCTGCTCTTGTGACTATGAAAGATGTAAGTTTTCTGCTATCATAGTACCACATTTCTGAAATCTTACTGCAGCATCATATAGAGTCAAAACTAACATTTTATTTTGTTATTGTTTGCAGGCATTGACTCCGCTTGGTAATGATTTGTCAAGCAACCAAAATGATTGGGCTAGATTAGTTGTGTACATTGCAGACAACACTATTGCAGTAGCTTTCATAATTGCGGATGATACTAAATTCAAGATTGAGAGCCCTTCTGTTGAGAAATGTATGCTGGCACTGACTGCATATTATCATGGACTTGACCGTACATATCCGACTGCGTACAAAAGTTTCTTTTCTCTGTTTGATGAGTTTATTTTTAAATTGAAAGTTAGTGTGCCTATATCGTACAAATGTTTCAAAAAGGATTATCTTGTGTGAAATATCAAGTGAAATGTTGTGTCTTACTTTGCATCTGTAGTTGTATTTTTAAATATTTGACTGACTAGTTTATTTTTAAATTGAAAGTTGGTGTGCCTATAAAAGTAATTATCTTCACGTGGAATCTAAGTGAAATGTCATCCCGTACAACACGGATTGTCTGAGAGCGGACTAACTGAGATACTACCTGCATCCATAGCGTATCTGCTTTTGAGTCGCTTTTGAGACTTGATTGCGACGTAATAAAGACGTTACTAATCCATCGCCAAGACCTGTGTGAGACATAGGTGATACGACTTTGGTGTCGGAAGAGAGGATCCACGAAGTCAGATCAGAAGTAAGTCTACTTTGTCTCGCTTTTCAGACTTCCCTCAGACACAACTGTGATCCATAGTGGAGCCGATCTGGAGACACCGCGGGCCAGGCAGTCAAGACACGCTGAAGACATCTTTGAGACACACTCAATCGGACAGACGAAAAAAGTGAGCGAATACGGTCCGCCAGTGGGAGGCGAACTACTGACTACTGGTGTGAAAGTGCGGCTCGCTCTCCACTGGGCCAGAGTGGAGAGACGCTGATCAATGTGTCGCTCGACGCGCTGGTCCCGCACAGAAAGAGGCTGGCCAGACATGATGGAGACATCTTTAAGACTTGCCTGATCCATCGCATACTTAGCACAGTGGCAGAGTGCGACGCATGACGGATCAGGCATGTCTTAAAGATGTCTCCATCATGTCTGGCCAGCCTCTTTCTGTGCGGGACCAGTGCGTCGAGCGACACATTGATCAGCGTCTCTCCACTCTGGCCCAGTGGAGAGCGAGCCGCACTTTCACACCAGTAGTCAGTAGTTCGCCTCCCACTGGCGGACCGTATTCGCTCACTTTTTTCGTCTGTCCGATTGAGTGTGTCTCAAAGATGTCTTCAACGTGTCTCTACTGCCTGGCCCGCGGTGTCTCCAGATCGGCTCCACTATGGATCACAGTTGTGTCTGAGGGAAGTCTGAAAAGCGAGACAAAGTAGACTTCCTTCTGACTTCGTGGATCCTCTCTTCCGACACCAAAGTCGTATCACCTATGTCTCACACAGGTCTTGGCGATGGATTAGTAACGTCTTTATTACGTCGCAATCAAGTCTCAAAAGCGACTCAAAAGCAGATACGCTA